GTAGGACACCCTACCTTAGATAGGTCCCCAATGCCAAGGCAACAGATTGCTGTTTAATATGCTATCATTTGTGCTTTTGCTGTAGGATTGGGGGAAATATTGGTGGACATTTCAGACTGATTGGGGTGCTGTGTTTTGTGACATGGGCTGTGGTGTGTGTGGAGCATCATTTGCTGTTCTTCCTCCCCATCAAATAGCAAAATTCCTCATCTCAGCTTGCTCCTTTTTAAAACTGTGTCACCGTATCTATTCTTGGAAAAATTTCAATTGATTCTTTGTCATATATTTTGTCTGTTGGAAACCACAGATTATCCCAGGCAAGGGGTTTGTTTCTGAGGTACCAAAGCACAAAATGTGCCAGTTTTAATCCTAAACTCATTAAAAAGAGTTAACAGGTTTGGGGAAGAAAATTGGGGCTAATTGTTTAGATGATTACGCCCCACTTGCTTTGATGATAGGCTGGAAAAAACTGAAGGAATAATTTTCTACTTAAACGCAGCGTCTTGCTTAGAACTGTCTTTAATTCTCCATCACTACCACTTTTGTATTCTCTTCAAGGGCTAATACCCAACTGCCATTTTTTAAATTAATAGGTCAATTCTAATTTCTGGAACCTGGAGTTTTGTGTCAAACTGTTCCAATGATAGAAGGGCTACGGCTTTTGTAATAAAATAAAATAAAATAAATAAATACACACAACAGTGAATTTTTGTGAAACGCACAAAATGCACTCTATAGGCAATGCCCATGTTAATTGTCAAAATATATTAAGAAGATTGGGAGTGGGTGTCATTCACTCTCAAGTTCCTAAATGTTTCTCTCAATCTCCACATATGGTTTGAGAAGGTGCAAGCCAATTGTGTATCTGCCTTTTTGTGATGAGTTGTGCTCTGAAGTGAAACCCTCATATGAACCAAAAGCATCTTCACAGTCTATCTCTAAATCTCTAAGCTAGCTGTAAATAACAGCCTAAATCAAGGAACCATCAAATCACTCCTACCAACACTGACAGGGCTAGTATATAAAAAGAAAGCAAACCCCATTCTCTTCTAGCACTGATGCTGTTACTTAGTTTGGTAATAAAACGTCTGCAAGAAAAACCACTAAGCTCAGAGAGCACCAAGGACCCTCTAAATCTATCTCTAGATGTATGTTGGGGTGACATCCTGGGGTCCTCCAGATGTTTTTTTTTTTAGATTTTTTTTTTAATTTTAAAACAAAACTTAAAACATAAAACATATCATCCATTACAATTATAGAAAGTGTATTGATCGGTTACAAATCTTTTGGGCTTAATCCCTTATCCAACATTTTTTTATTTGACAATTTATTACATTATTATTCTCATTTACCAATTATTTAACAATAACTTATCTCCCATAAAGAAAACAAAGAGAAAAACAAAATATTTCATTTCCATGCTTTGTTGTCTAGCCAGTGATAAAATAAATCCCATATCAAATAATAATGTTTATCTTCCTGTTCTCTAATTTCAAATGTCAATTTGCTCATTTCAGCACATTCCAAAATTTTCTTAATAACATCATCATCAGTAGGTATCTTCTCTCCTTTCCAGTTTTTGGCAAATACAATTCTAGCTGCCGTTAAAACATTCACAATTAAGTATTTCAGTTCTCTATTATATGTCTCTGGTACAATCCCTAATAAAAATATCTCTGGTTTAAAGTCAATATGTTTCTTTATCATTTTTTCCAGCCATGTGTGGATTTTAGTCCAATATCTTTTAGCTTCTGCACATGTCCACCACATATGGTAATATGAACCTGGAATCTAATGACACTTCCAACACTTCTCCGATTTGTTCTTGAACATTCTGGCTATCCGTGCCGGGGGTAGATGCCACCTGTAAAACATCTTAAACAAATTGTCCTTATATGCTGTTGATATTGTCATTTTATAGATGTTTTGTTTTATAATGCCAAGAAACTCAAGGTAGCAGGTCTAGAAAAAAACATTTGTCCCAAGTTTGTGAGTCATAATTTTCTAGTAAAGAATCAGATTTTTTTTCTGCTTTGCTTTGGCATTCCTTAAAGCTAATACAGCCGTGATGGGTGGCACGCAGAGCCATATCTGTGGGCACGCAAGGGTTGCTGTAGCTCAGCTCCAGCATGCATGTGCACGCCGGCCAACTGATTTTTGGGCCTTCCGGGCCCACCGGAACTCAGGAAACGGGCCTTTTCCAGCCTCCAGAGGGCCTCCAGGGCGGTGAGGAAGGCCCTTTCCATCCTCCCCAAGCTCCAAGAAAGCCTCTGGAGCCTGGGGAGGGTAAAAAATGGGCCTACCGGGCCCACCAGTAACATTTTTGCCGTCGCGTGCCAAAAGTGGGAATGCGAAGTGGGGCGTTGCACACGCATGTGTGGGGTGGGGCGCAGGGGGGAATTGAATTATGAGTGTGGGCACATGCGTGCGCAACTCCTCCCCACCACACTCTTCCCACTTTTGGCACGCGACGGCAAAAAGGTTAGCCATCACTGTGATACAGCATCAAAGAATTGGAAAGGCAATCTAATTTATCGAGTCCAAGTCCCTGCTCTATGTAGGAATATAACTAAAATGTCCAGAGAGGAGAAGAATTGAACTGTGGAGTCCTTGGTGCTCTTTGAGGTTGGTTGTTTTCTTGTAGTCCTTTCATTACCCAACTAGGTAACATCATCAATGCTGGAAGGGAGTGAGGTTTGCTGTCTCTTTATATACTTGTGGCTTGCTTTATCAGTGTTGGTGGGGGAGATGTTTTCTCCTTGGTAGTTCTTGGATTGAATTGTTGTTTACTGCTTGATTGCTTGTCTACGTTGTTCCTTGATTAGGGTATTGTTTACTGCTTGATTATTTGTCTGGTATTAACCCCTGCTTATCTGGGCATCCTCAACAGATGACTATCAGTTGAAGCTGACTCTTAAATCTTCTTGGCCAATGGTTCCACTGTGGAAGTGATCTTATGGTTAGGAATTTTCTTGCCTAATATTCAACTGGAATTTGCTTTCCTCTCTCTTTGTCTTTGGCAACTACTGTATTGCACTTGGTTAATTTTTAGATTATAAGCCAGGATTTCAAAAGGAAAAGGATTCCACCCCACCCACAAACACAAGATAAAGGAAAGGTCCTATACATATTCAAAGGATGCAACCTGAACAATGTAGAATGAAGAGGCCTTTGTGCTGCAGTGCACTGATTTGATCTGGTAGATATATATCTTCCTTTGTCCTTCTCTCCTTCCTGGTTCTCTTTCTTTCTTTCTTTCTTTCTTTCTTTCTTTCTTTCTTTCTTTCTTTCTTTCTTTCTTTCTTTCTTTCCTTCCTTTCCTTCCTTCCTTCCTTCCTTCCTCTCTTTTTTTTCTTTCTCTCTCTTTCCTCTTTTCTTCCTTTCTCCTTCCCTTTCTCCTTCCGATCCTTTCCTTCCTTCCTTCCTTTCCTTCCTTCCTTCCTTCCTTCCTTCCTTCCTTCCTTCCTTCCTTCCAACTTAAAAAAAATATACTCCATAAAGAATCTTGCTTTCCCCCAGTAATTTACATTTAGTGCAGGAATATGCAGGAGGGCCATTAAAATAATGCAAATTTTTCCAATGATTAGGATAGATTAAAGTTTTTGCCCTTTATATAGATTAGGCTTTAAACTGAAATAGTATGATTTTTCTCCTTTTTTCTTGACACATATACTTTTTATTAGCAGCCAGAAAAAATGTATTATCAGTCACTGTTAATGTTCAGAAGATCACTCAGAAGAAGAAACTTGAACCAAAATTATTTCACTATCCATGGCTGTCCTCATTTTCTCAATACATTTAACCAAGCAAGTCTTTAGTATGATGTGTGCACAAGCCAATAGCAATTTATTCACTGAACTATGGTTAAACAAGACATGTCTCTGGATATGTGAACATGGTGTGTGTGTGTGTGTGTGTGTGTGTGAGAGAGAGAGAGAGAGAGAGAGAGAGAGAGAGAGAGAGAGAGAGATTGACTATAAAATTAAAATTCACTAAGAATGTGAAATAAATGAGAAAAACTATGTTACTTGATGTCACCTGATGTGAGTTATCTTTTTAATGTACTATAAATATTATAAATATTTATAGTAATTGTAATATAAGTAATATAATAATATTTATAGTAATATGTAATATAAGTATTATAAATATGCCTATTTATAAAATGGGAATCTGTATCTTTTGTTTCAATATGAACCGATTCCCTTCCCCCAGTGTCAAAATGAAGTTGATGCTGGTAATGTAGGAGAAGATTAGGCAGAGCTGGAAGAGTGGAGTTAAGCACGTTGTCAGCTTAGAGTCATTGTGTTCCCACAAGCGTTTCCATGTCCAACCCCTCTTGAATTTCATTGACCCTTATCTGATGCCAATTTAGTATGGGGTTTGAGTTGACCGGATTATTGTGTATAGGCTTGAATAAATCTTCCATCCTGAAACTTTATGAATGCTCCTGATTCTTCATACCTGACAGGTGCCACATAAATTACTTTGAGGATACAAACACTGCTAGAGAAACTCATTTTTGGTTCCATCAAAGATGGTTTAGGAAGCTTAGAATGGGAAACCTAAGTGGGCCATTATTGTTTTGATATAACATTAATTCATTTTAGTCATTTCCTAGTGGAGGATGTCTTACTGATATTATTTCTTTCCTAATAATTAAAAGCTACATTATTTCTATGCACTGTTATCTTCTTGTATTTTCTTTAGCTGAATGGACAAGACAAATCACCTCTCATTTATCATTAGAAAAATCATGGAAACTACACCATTGGTTCTGCCAAGCTTTAGGATAAGATAGTTGTAGAGTGCCTGTGGTTATAATTTTTTTTATTGGGATAGTGTAATTTCCTGGTCATGATATATTCCACATATGCTTTCTATATATGTTGATTTTTAATTGCAAGCTGCCCGTAGTCATTTGAGGAGTTGGGCGGCCTCAAAATCGAATCAAATAAACAAAAATCGCTTGAGACTTACACTGTTTTTGTCTCTTCCAGGTGTATAACTTTAAGAAGCCTTACTCTGTTGTTTTCATGACCTTGCTGGATCAAAAATGGAGCAGATGGACTGTAAACCTTACCAGCCCCTATCCAAAGCTAAGCATGAAATGGATCTAGCTTATACGAGCTCTTCAGACGAAAGTGAAGATGGGAGAAAAGCAAGACAGTCCTACGAGTCGAGAGAAACCCTAAATGAATTTGGACAAGATCTCAGACTCAATTACAACAGCCATAACCGAACAGGAAAAGGAGTTGATGAATCCACTCAAGGTACGTTGAACCATATGTTGTGACAAGTAGTATGTCCACATTAACCTCAATAGTTTTTCTTCTTGTACAGTGGTACCTTAGTACTCATCAATTGGTTCCAGGAGGTACAATGAGTACCAAAAATGATGAATACCAAACAAATATTTCCCATAAGGAATAAAGTAGTGAGTCACAAGGCAGCCAACACCAACAAGTGCTTGTGTTGTCTATGTGTTGAATACAAAACAAACAATGAGTCCTCATCATCTTTTAATGACCCCATAATCCCTTGCAGGGTGGAGTCTGGGCAACTGAATGGAGCTGAATGTTTACTGGCTGGATGCCTTTCCTGTCGCCAATGCAGAATTATATTCAGCAGATATATACTCATTGTGCCCAGAGAGAGAAATATCTGTCTCTACCTATGATCGAACTCGCAGCCTCCTGATTGTGAGGCGAGAGCTCCACCTCTAGGCCACTGCACCACTCTAACCAAACAATGAGTGCGGGACAAAATTTCCATATTAAAATGCATTGAGTATCACATTTGATGAGTTTCAAAACAGTTGAGTACCTAGGTACCACTATATTTTACATGATCACCTGTGGAAATTGCTTTCTGTTCCAAATCATACTGAGTGCCTGATTCAGTTTTATGCTAAAAGTTGCCAGCCTCTAGGGTTAAAGTTATATGCAAGAATGCTGCCACAGACCTCTGATAGTCCAATTGCATTTTTAGACAATGTTGCAGCTCAGGGCGTTCTTGGGAAGCATGGACATCTATCTAGAAAAACGGGAATGGAAGCTAGGGTGGCAAAGTTGAATCTCAGAGCTCAAGAAGCTGGCAGGGATCATCTTTAGTAGTTTCCCTTCTGACAAACGTTCATTTTGATCGTTAGCCCTACCGTGCACATCAACCTTTTTGAGAATGGGCATCCCTTCTCCCTGCTTGATGATTTTGTGAGAACATCTACAGCCTGCTTACAAAACTCCTAATTTGCTTAACTAATGTTCAATGGAAACCTTCCCTCCTGGATGGGTGTGCCATCCATTGTCAAAAGTAGAGTGGACAACCATTTGACTGGGAGGGTATAAGGCCTCATGACTTGAGCAGGAGGTTGGACTAGAAGACCTCTGAAGTTCTTTCCAACCCCACGATTCCATGTTCTTTACTAGTCCTCAAGGCTTGTTACGTTAGTTAATTAGTTAATTAGTTAACCTGACTAGGTGGTTCAGTGGCTAAGACGCTGAGCTTGTCGATCAGAAAGGTCGGCAGTTCAGCGGTTTGAATCTCTAGTACAGGTCTCCTGCGTGAGCAGGGGGTTGGACTAGATGACCTCCAAGGTCCCTTCCAACTCTGTTACTGTTAACTGTTAGGATTAGAATCTTCCCAGTCATAGTATCCCATGGAAGGTCAGGCTGATTCAATCTTTATCATGTTCTCAAAGGAAATGAAGAATTCTATGAATTTGAATACAATTCTGTATTTATTATTTTGTCTTGTTTGGATAATGTCTTGATTATTTTGTAATGTTGATTTTTACACCACTGGTTCAAACAATACCTTGTTTCAGAAGATCCTGGCAGGCAAAGAAAATTATGAATATATATAGTAAGAATAGAATAGAACAGAACAGAACAGAACAGAACAGAATCTTTAATATAACTTTGAATGTACACCAAATTTGGCATACATTAAAATGAAATTTCATTGCATACAGCTCTCAAAAGGTCATCACCTCCAATATACTACATAACCATGAAAGAATAAATAAATAAATAAATAAATAGAAAATTATGCATATACTCGATATATTATATGACCCAGAGGAACAACACAGTCTAGTTTGGATGTATATATGTACATGGCGAGAAAAACAAATCTTGCGAGTTTACCAGATGGATGGCAACAAAACTGTTACAGAATCTGGTAGTCCTGCTAGAAATACTTCAAAACTTCCTCCCAGAGGGGAGCAACAGAAACAGATTGTGAAGTGGGTGTGTGGGGTCTCTAACAATGCTTTGAGCTCTAAGCACATAGCGCTTATAAGCAGCATCCTGAATAATGGGAAGAGAGCCTCCTATAATCTTCTCAGCTGTCCTTACCACTCTCTGTATGGACTTTCTATCTGAGGCTCTGCTGCCACCAATATTGATATGCTTTTGGCATGATATTTTTCCACTAAAAGAAGGTGCAAAAATTCTATTTGATCTACACTCTCTACTTGAAAGAGATTTTTGTATCTCATCTTCTGTTTTGAGAAAACATTGAAATGTGTTTCTAAAAAGAGGATTGCTTTTTGTTTTCCTAGCTGATTTCTATCACATTGGTTTGTCAGCACCTTTTTAAAAAAATGACACTGAATACAGAATAGATTTATTGGGAGACCATTATTTAAGTTAACATTCTATACAAGTGTTGCAGAAAATCAAATACTGGTTGTTGGTTTTTTTTTTGTTTTTGTTTTTTTCTGGAGTGCTCGATGCATGATAAATTGCAGCTCTGCAGAAGCTTTTGTTAGAAACTTATCACTATGAAGGAAACTAAGATTGAATTAATACAAATAAATGGGAAAAAAGAATTTTTCCTTTAAAATGTAAAAATTTTCCCAGCGTGATTTACAAGTAGCATTTAAAACTAGCCAAGCTAAATGTATATACAATTATAAATGCCAATATAAACATTAAAAGAGTACCTTTGAACCACCAATCAAGCATTTAATGAAAGAGGATCATAATGTGTGTGTGTGTGTGTGTGTGTGTGTGTGTGTGTGTGTGTGTGTGTAGTCTTAACCCAAAGGATTTAAATTATCTCTGATTTCTTTCCTTTTTATCCTACCCAGAGCCCAAGACTGAAGCGTAGGTGGGATTTATATTATCACGACCTGGAATGCTGGAATGGGGTATTTGCAACCCAAACTATAACTAGTTACTTATGGGGGAAAGAAAGGAAGATGACCATCACCCACTAAAATTGGCTATGACTTTTTTTTTCTTTTTACAACCTTGTAATCCTTGATTCAGGGTGGAGTTGGGGTGACTGGGTGGAGCTGAGCATTTACTGGCTGGATGCCCTTCCTGAAGCCTACACGGAATTCACAGCAGATATTATCTTTTTGTGCCCTAAGAGAGAAACATTTGCCAGTACCAAGGATTGAACTCTCAACCTTCCAAGTGGGAGGTGAGCATCTTCACCACTAGGCCCCCACACCTCTAGGCCCCCACACCTCTAGCAGAATAAAACCCACAGGGACTCCATTACTTTTCTTTTTTACATGAACAATACCAAATTGGAGAAGATTAACCTTTTCCTGCCTCTCATCTTGTTGTTACAACTTAAAGATAATTTCTGATAGAGGACATTGTTTGAAAGTGAGATGTTTTGGACCCTTTATTGAAATCTTCCCTTCAATTTTGTTATTTTATGTTATTGGTGTCCAAAAGATTAAACTATCTGATAACTACAGTAATTCTTGATTCTAGAAAGGGGAAAGAGAGAACACTGCCAAATTATGAGGTGACTGTTTCTCTTAATGGCTCCCACTCCAATTACAGAGTGAATGTGAGTTTTATGGGTTTTAACCATGTAAGGGATGCGGTGGCTCAGTGGCTAAGATGCTAAGCTTGTCAATTGAAAGGTCAGCAGTTCAGCGGTTCAAATCCCTAGCGCTGCATAACGAGGTGAGCTCCCGTTACTTGTCCCAGCTTCTGCCAACCTAGCAGTTTGAAAACATGTAAAAAATGCAAGTAGAAAAATAGGGACCAACTTTGGTGGGAAGGGAACAGTGTTCCGTGTTCCTTTGGCATTTAGTCATGCCGGCCACATGACCACAGAGACGTCTTCAGACAGCGCTGGCTCTTCGGCTTTGAAACGGAGATGAGCACCGCTCCCTAGAGCCGGGAACCTTTACCTTTACCTAACCATGTATGTGAGTTTAAATTCAGCCTTATGACCGAGGAAGGGAATTAGGACATGGTAAAACTGCAGCCAAATAGCAACTTTGGAAAAACTTCATTTTTGTTGATTTACTGAACAATGGAGGTTAGCTTTTCTTATCAGATTCGCGTATTTTTTTTGCAATTTTTGAAGCCCACTCAAATCTGAGGACTCTGGTAGGCATATGACAGAATAGAAAAGAAAAGGAAGTCAGTTGAAAACAGTATATAAAAACAAACATTCCTTGTAAATGGGGGTCACAGAACAATTTTTAATAAGGTTAAGAGGATTTACAAAGTTGTAGATAACTTTCTTTTTTTAATACTGTAATATGGGAACCAATAATGGAAGAAATATTTGGGTTCCCCCTGCCCCCTTCAGTGTAATTTGATATCTTGAGCTTAGATACTGATCTAGCATTAATGAATGAATGAATAACAAAATAATTTGGAGCAGGCTGTAGAGGGAATGGATTTTGATATTATCAAATAATTATACACTGGAAGCATGTTATCCTGATGAAATTAATTTCATAATCTGACTTTTTTTTTTTGTATTAGAGCACCAATGAATAGGAAATTTCTTAAGTAAGCGCACTTATGAATTGGCACTTTAAACAAAAGAATAATATATTAATGTGTATTTCAGTACATTGTTAAATTGAATAGTGGATAAGTAGCAGTATATAAAACAACAAACAGCAACAGCTTGGTAGTTTACTAATCAAGCTAATGAATACAGTGTTTGGAGGAATAAATAGAAGGGCCGTTGATTTTTTTTTTTTGTATGTGTTATTTGTTTGTATTTGTGTGTGAGCGAGCGAGAGAAAGAGAGAGAGAGAGGAGAGAGAAGAGGAGAGAGTACATACCTATTGATACAGAGCTAATGTTTAAATGGGTTATCTATAAAATTCACCAGGATTTAGGAGTGGCTGGTTCAGATAGCTAGTTCATTAATACAAAGCGAGCTGAGGAAAGAAGGCATAGTTGTAGATCAGACACATGGATGGTTATTCTGTCTCTTGGATTTGTGCATTTATCCAGAACTATACAGCATGATATAAAAGGGATGTGGTGGCTCAATG